CCAGCACAGGAACCCTGTAGATAGCAGCTGTCGCTGTGTCCCTTTATCTAAGTTGTGCTGCTGCTCTAATTCCCTGGGCCACTTCTCCACGGCCCTGCACCATCTTCACTCTTATCTCAGGGCCTTGTCCTAATGGAATCCCTGCAACTAGCTCAGGGCTCCTTCTCTCTCTCTCCCCGGCTTCTGGCAGCACTACCTCATCTAAAATCCTGCAACTCCCTCAGCCAGCCACACACAACATCTGCACTCCTCTAGCTCTAGCAAGGAACTGAACTCATTCTGGCCCAGCAACTCTTCTTATACTAGCCTGCTAGGCCCTGATTGGCTGCTTCCCACACAGCTGCTGTAGGCAGCTTGGAGGACCTCTTTTCTGCCCTTTTCTGTGGTAGGGTGTGGCAGGGCCACCGGCCTCCAGCAGGGGGCCTCGGGCCTAGTCCACCTCATTACAGGCCCACTTCTTCAAGGTGCTGATTTGAATGTCTTTTGTCAGATGTCTAATGAATAAACTTAAGTTCTAAGAGGGGCTGGCCAGAAACTGAAATTTCAATTCTGTAGGAAATTCTGACATTAAAAAAAAATTGTTCTCAGATGGTACAAAAAATGAAATTTCAAAATTTCCCACAAAACAGGAATTCCAAAATTTCATTTAGAAACAGCAGCTTTTCATTTCAACCTTTTCAAAATGTTTCCAATGCTCCAACAGCTTCCCAGAGCTGTGGCAACTCACCAGATGGGGAGCTGGGCAGCTCAGCCCTGGAAGCCCTGGCTATGGGGCAATCAAACTGGTAGTCTGGCTGGTAGCTGCCAGGCAGTCTGCTGAGGAATCAGGTAAGCTGGTAGGAAACCAGGTTTCCAGTAGCAGCTGGTGTCCGTGATTTTCAGTGGAATTTCATCTTCATCATCACATTCTCATGGAACCTTTCGATTTTATCAAATTGGGTTTTTCCAGTGGAAAAACATTACATCTGAAAATTTCAAACCAGTTCTTGTTCTTTTTTTAAATCAGGTCATTGTTTTACATAATTATTTAGCAACATTTTTGTAAGATGTCTGATATGAGTTTTGAATGGATTAACATATTACAGAAGGTTCATTATAGTGTTAATTTAGATTTAAAACATGGTTTTAAAAATTCACACCATTGCTGATAAAAGTTACATATTAACAATGGAGGCAGTAGCTCTGATTTCAGGATTGCCAAAATATACTTGAAAGATGAATGTAAAAACAAAACAACCAAACCCTACCATTAATTAACAAGACTCAGTAATTTTGGAACTAGTCTTTTAAGAAGATAAACCACAAGGAGAGTCTATTGTCATTGATGCAAATGAATGTTACTAGCATAAATTCCCTATGTGTTTTCTGCAATATAGACTTTCCAGTATAAAATACATTGAATATTTAATAGAGGGCACAAGCTGATTTATAAATACATATTATCGTATGTTAATAGTCTGAGTTTCCATTCTTTGGAAATACTGTAATGTAGTAAATATGAATAATCCTGCCTGTAATACTTACTGCATATTTCTTTGTCACTGTAAAAATGTGGCCTGCAAGCGCCTCCTGCTGGCCAGATGCATGCCTGAACTGTTTTTGTGGTGCCCTCCACCAGCAGTTTCTCTTTTCAGATGGATTTTCAGTGACTCAGCCCTCCCTTAGTCTATATGTGAAACAAATAGAAAATAAACCCCTTCTGGGGTAACACAGTCCAACAAATGGTTAGCCCCTCACCCCACCCCGAGGTCCTCTGTCCCATCTCTGGACCTGTTTGAGCACTTTCCCCCTTCTTGGGATCCACACAAAACTAGTTGCCTCCTCAGCCCTTTGCCACTCAGCCTGTGGCTGGTGGAGGGATCTGGCCCTCCCCACTACTCCGGGTCCTAACCCAGAGACCCTACAACTAGTAGCCACCTGTTGCTTCCTTCGCTAGTGTCTATTGCTGCATTCCTTGGGCTGCTTCCCACTCTGTCTCATCAGCTTCTTGGGTCCTTGGCCTGTTCCCTGTTTAAGCCCCCTTGCCTAGAGAGTCTCTTCCATGTTCTCTCAGGGTTCTTTCTCACAGGCCCTTACCTCATGAGCTTATAACAGTCTCTGGCCCTTCTTGTCAAGTCTCTCTCTCCTAGGCCTCAGTGCTTGGAGAGCTTCACAGTCCTATCCCTTCTTAGGCAGGGTTTCTCCCCATTCTCCGTACCTGTGGAATCACCCAGCCTTCCACTCCTTTTGGTCCCAGCCAACAACTGCTCTGTCCAGCTGCTGCAGCTTCCTCAGCCAGCCAGGAACATCATACTTCCTCCTCTGGCTCCAGCCAGCAACTGAGCTGTCCAGGCCCTGCAACTCCTTTTATATGAGCCTTCCCTTCAGCCTCTCTAGGCCACTTGGAGGACCCCACTCTATTGCCTTTTTTCTGTGGCAGGGTATGGTAGGACTGCAGGGTCTTCCCAAGGGCCTCAAAGGGTACACCCCATCACAGTCACCATGTTGAAATATATATATATATTTATTTATTTATTTATTTATATTTGCATATATATATATGTTATGCAAATATAATCCTTGATTCTACACTGGAAACCTCTAGTACACAACCCTGAGCCTTTGAACCTCAGATAACATCAGTGGATTTCACAAGGTCAGTGAGAGGTCCACACTAGTGGATCCCAATTTAGGATCAGAGCCTACAGATGCAGGCATTATAGCTCAGTATATACTTTTCTTCCTTATGAAGAAAGCTTTCTTATAAAGAAAATTGACTTTGTATCACACAGTTTGTCTTTCTGCCATGTGATAATTTTAATTTGTTTTTATAAATTGCTTAATATAATGTTTAACCTAGGTTGTGTTCTTTTCATCTTTCATAAGAGCAAATACATATCAAAATAATTTGTAGTCTGAAATTTATCTTTTTTAAGCTAATTTTGTAGAAAAAATTACCTTTTACGCTGCACATTATACATGAAAAACTAGCACAAAAGGAGTCATAGTATGTTTAGATCTTTAATTTCCTGGAAATTTAAGCCAATGGACTCAAAACAGAAAAAAATCATTGAAATATTCCTTAGAGTTTTGCTTGGCATATTTAAATAATAAAATTAAAAAACATGTTTAAATATTGAACTGTTTATTATTTTCTTTTAAAAGTTCATTAAAACCCTAAAGGCTTCTGCTGTGCAGTTGGAGCAAAAAATAGTCAACTGTGAAGGGTAAAAATTGTATCTTTTCAAAGAGAGGTTATGATAGTAGGGTACCAGCCTTGCATATATTCACACACTCAAAATACATGTCTGTTTACCAAATGCCTGAGGTTTGTACCGTTCCTGTTATGAAAATTCATCTACTATTCAGAAATCAACCTTGCCCTTAGTTATTGGCAATAAAAAAATGAATCTAAAGACTTTCACTAACTTGTCATCCTTCAATCTTTTTTATAGCATCAGAAACTTGGAATTTCTCTTTTATCCTCATAGTACAGTGTATGCACATACATCATGATCTGTAGATATATGCATACACATCATACATATAACATACACATACACATCTAATCACATATGTACATATTATGCATTATGTTTATTATACATACAGCTGGTAGCACCGTTTATTATTAAAGTTGTCTGACACTTCCCATTATAAACCCTGTTTTCAGTTGCTTATAACTTTACCAACCTTTAACCCATGTGGGTTGAGTTTTCCATGCCAGATGTCTGCCTCAGGTGGAATTTTCTTTGGAAGATTTTAGCTGAAACAGTTCAGATCCTGAAAACGAAACTATGGAAAAATACATTGTTATGCCCATGTAAAAAAAATTCTGGGGACCTTTTCTTTGACAATCTCTAATGCATCTATGCTTTGGAGCAGGGACTAAAAATTTGGCAAGGAGGTGAGTCTTTTGCTGTGCCTGTGAAGATCCACCCATCCCAAGTCGGCCAAGTTATAAGCCTTTGAAAAATCGCATTTCGCACATGTGTAGTAGACACTTGCTAGACTGCAGCTAAATTCTCCAAAGATTCCGTCTGTGCTGGGCATGCTCTAGCCTTGGGCAAAACAAGAATTTCCCTGCAATTGCAGCAGCTCTGCGCTATTGTGGGTTGTCCTGGGTCCAGGTTTGGGCACCTGAACTAAGAGCAGGCATTTTGGGTTCAAGACGAGCTAACAGGGAACCAGTTAGTCAAACCTCAAAACCGTTGCACTGGAAAATTTCATACCAGCTCTAGTCACTATACACTTTCCAACTTCTGCAACAAATGAAGCCGGGGGCCAGCAGACAACAGCCTCCTTCCCTGCATAACCATGGTTCATACCCAGAGCAGGTCTGTCCTGAGTACTGAATGAGGCAGGAGTCCTGTGGAGAAAATAGTATGTGATTTTAGAGGCTCTATCATAATGCATATGCACAAGGGTGCCGAATTAAGGTTACAGATGCAACATCAGTTCTGGCATTTCCTAACTTTTCAGTGCTTGACTTTGCAACCTTAATAATAATCTTTTAATGTACTTTTCTGTGGACATGTATACACAGTATGCATATGTATATGATCCTGTAAAGTGTATGTAAAAGTACTGCCTGTTTGTACATGTGTGGCATACACATATTCATGAAGTAGAACTTCATCAATTTGCATTATGATCATTTGTGAATTACTAAGATTTGCAGTGAATGAGGCAGGCTGTACATGGGTAGTGGATGATGGTGTGATCTATAAATGTGATGCTATATAAACACACAGAGAGATGCTGATCAGTGTGTGTAACCATCTAATAGTAAATTTACCTCAGAACTGGGAGGTACACAGTACTGTTCATTAACAGTTCTGCATTAAATTTTAGCATGAGACAATTACAGTTTGTCATTACCTTCTTTCCCCGTCGTGATAATGATGGTTAACAAAAGATCTCTGGACTAAAATTATACTTTTGTTGGGGACTGGGAAAATTAAAATTTGTTGTTTGACAGTAATATTTCATTGGTCTAAATAAACCAAATTTTCCTTCAGGTTTGTGCTTGAACCTCTTCTGCCAAAAAAGATGCATTCTAGATCTCAAGATAAGTTGGACAAGGATGACCTAGATAAAGATAAGAAGGAAAAGAAGAAGGAAAAAAGGAACAGCAAACACCAAGAGATATTTGATAAAGAGTTGAAATCTGCGGATATTTCTCTGCAACAATCTGAAGCAGTGATCCTTTCAGAAACGGTAATGTTAAGAAACAGAGTTTTATTTAATTGTGGGCAATAACTCGGACTTTTTTACAACACAGAAGGGTCATTTTGACAGTTCATTTTGTTTTTAGACTTAAAATAACTCTGAGAAAAAATTCTATACTCTTTAAAACATTCATTAGTGTACCAAAAGTAGATATTTTACTAAACAAAAAGAACAGAATAATGGTATTTTGTATAGACTTTCTGTAAGACTTTTATATATGGCCTTTTGAAAAATACAATATTTGATATAATTAAAGAAAATTCAGTTACACCATTCATAGCAGGGATTCTTCTAGTTGCTGGTCATCTGAGATTCTGATGGTTCTTCCATGTGGTTTCAGTTATCTTCTGCAAGATATAGTTGGTGGATATATTGTGCAGTCATTTTATATATGGCAATTACGTATTCTTTATTCCTGAGGGAATTCTGCACCAAAAAATTAAAAATTCCATGTACCATATTTTAAATTCTGCATATTTAATTTGTCAAAATAACACTATATATAATCACCCCAGGTTCAATTATTTCGTTAATTTATTTCACAATACCTTTCAGCAACTCTGTCACGATGCAGACACACAAAAAGTTCCCCCAGGAGTAGAGTTTAAAAAAAACCCTACAACAATCCAGTTCCTGTTTCTCTGCCGCTCCAGAGCCCAGCCAGGAGCCAGACACCCATACCCCTTCCCCCAGAGCCCCAACCGCGGGGCGCCCCCCCCCCAGCCCAGACACCCACACTCCCATACCCCCCAGCTGTGGAGCCCACCCCCACCCTCACTCCTCCCAGCCCGGACACTTGCGCACACACCCTACTCTCCCAGAGCCCAGGAATCCAGATGGAGAAACAGCCTGATGCTGGGTCCCGGGCTTGTGTGGAGTTTCCTGCATGCTGCCTTCTTCCTTCAGGGCGTGCCTGGAACTGTAGCTGTCTGGAGCCCTCCAGCTCCGTTCCCCTCCCACCGGCAGTGTCTTCTATTTGTGAGCTGGGCTGTGCCAGGTCCAGCAGCTCCTAGTGGTAACCAGCAGCTCTGCAGCCCATTTCTATGGGGGGGAGGGGGAGGGAGGAAATTCTGTGCAGAACATTAATTTCTGTGCAAATTCTGCATTGCACAGTGGCACAGAATTCCCCCAGGAGTAATTCTTGGAAAGCCAAGAATTCCCCCAGGAGTAATTCTTGGAAAGCCATTTTTAACACTTGCATCTGAAGAAGTGAGGTTCTTACCCACGAAAGCTTATGCTCCCTATACTTCTGTTAGTCTTAAAGGTGCCACAGGACCCTCTGTTGATTTTTAACAGAAACATACATACATTTTCATCATAGATTCATAGATTCTAGGACTGGAAGGGACCTCGAGAGGTCATCGAGTCCAGTCCTCTGCCCGCATGGCAGGACCAAATACTGTCTAGACCATCCCGATAGACATTTATCTAACCTACTCTTAAATATCTCCAGAGATGGAGATTCCACAACCTCCCTAGACAATTTATTCCAGTGTTTAACCACCCTGACAGTTAGGAACTTTTTCCTAATGTCCAACCTAGACCTCCCTTGCTGCAGTTTAAGCCCATTGCTTCTTGTTCTATCCTTAGAGGCTAAGGTGAACAAGTTTTCTCCCTCCTCCTTATGACACCCTTTTAGATACCTGAAAACTGCTATCATGTCCCCTCTCAGTCTTCTCTTTTCCAAACTAAACAAACCCAATGCTTTCAGCCTTCCTTCATAGGTCATGTTCTCAAGACCTTTAATCATTCTTGTTGCTCTTCTCTGGACCTACATACAGCCATCAGTTCACTGGTGGCTGTATGTAAAGATATTTATTATAGTGTATCTCTTCTTTGAACTGCACCCTTCTTTCCAATTTACCAGGACCACCCCACTGGTGTATGTCAATACTGAAGTTTTATTTTTTAAATTGAAAATTAATCCATTTTTTGCTAGAGTAGTAACCATAGCCTTGGAAGCTCAGGAGGGGCATCTATTTTGATGCTGTTGGTTTAAAACTTTGTCCTCAAGAAATACATGTAATGGTCTCTTCTCTGTGTTAGTGTCATGACTACTAGAGCAAACTTCCCTGTTAGCAGGATCCCTGTCTGGTAGCTGGAGTTTTGCTGTGTGCACCCTGAACAGACCTCAGCAAAAACTTAAATCAGAATCCTTGTGCTCTCCATGGATTTGACACAAAGACTATTGAAATTAGAGTTTTGAGTCAAGCCCTAGGTTTGTTAAAAGGGAGATTCTCTCTACCAGATCTAGCAGGAGGAGCTTCCTTAGCCTCTTCTCAACCAGAAGACACATTTTGCATAAATTTCCAATGTGCCTCGTCTGTTTGGCACAGTGCAGTCAACTGTGTGACTATTAGGGTCTTTTAGTAGTCATATTTTGACTGAATCTAAGCACTGCATTTGACATAGCTCAGATAGATCACTATTGCACTGACATGTCTTAGCTGTTGGGATCAGCAACCCATCTTGGCTGTTGCTATTGATTTCAATTTGGAATCCTTAGAGTGGATTTTTTTCATTTTTAAACTAGTACATACCAAAGGTCCTTATCATATAGTCATGGAGGTGCTCAGTGGTGAACATTGTATAAATACTTATATACTGACAAATATTATTTATCTAACTGCAATTTACTTAATTTTACTTGCTGTATTCTGGGTGACAACAACATGGGTTAAGTGACTGCTGCAAATTTTGGAATATCTTTTTTTCATTCTTTATGCATGATTTCAGAGTTCAGTTCACACCTGCAGACACTATCAAACATTGGTGGCCTAGTCTCAGCTCTTTGGATGGAGCATGTGTCAACACACATCTGACATATTTTGTAGGTAAAATTCACTAGCATTCACAATCTGCTGGTGTGTACATTGAGTAAACTCGGGCCCACACCTGGATAGCTCAGAGGGTGTATATGGTCACATCTACACATGAGGAGCTGTGCTGGCAGCTGCAGAGGAAGAGTCTGCTCCCCTGGTGACTGCACAGTTGCTTTGCATTGGCTACAGCAATGGCTGAGGCACCATGCATCCTGCCGAGAAGAGATAAGGAAAGGTTGAAAGGAGCAAAGGTAAGTCTCAATGAGGTGTAGAAACAGATGTTTCAGTGATGGGCACCTAAGGGTACGTCTACACTTACCGGAGGGTCTGACGGCAGGCAATCAATATTCTGGGATCGATCCCGGAAGTGCTCGCCGTCGACGCCGGTACTCCAGCTCGGCGAGAGGAGTACGCGGCATCGACGGGGGAGCCTTCCTGCCGCGTCTGGACCCGCGGTAAATTCGGACTAAGGTACTTCGAATTCAGCTACATTATTAACGTAGCTGAATTTGCGTACCTTAGTCCGAAGTGGGGGGGTAGTGTGGACCAGGCCTTAGAAATGCCTACAAGGGATAGATAGGAAGTTTGATTAGCGCACACACAGGTCAATGATAGACACAGGGATGGATTTAAATAGCAGTCTGCACATTTATTAAGTTAACAATGAAGGAATTGGATTTTTTATGTCTTCCTTCCATGGCCTGTCATCCCAAGAGCACTGTCGATATTGGAGAGGACAGCTCCAGTTTGGTTATACTTGCACTGGTCTAGATATTGCAGGCCGCATTCTCAGAGCTTTGATCCTTTTCATAGATCAAGATTCACCATCAATTAAATCAAGATTGACTATTTTTCTAAAAGATATGCTTTAGTTCAAACATAAATTAATTCAGGGAAATCCTGTGGCCAGCCTGCGCTATACAAGAGGTCAGACTAGACCAGTGGTTCGCAAACTTTTGTACTGGTGACCCCTTTCACATAGCAAGCCTCTGAGTGTGACCCCCCCCCCCTTATTAATTAAAAACACTTTTGTGTATATTTAACACCATTATAAATGCTGGATGTAAAGCGGGGTTTGGGGTGGAGGCTGACAGCTCGCAACCCCCTATGTAATAACTTCACAACCCCCTGAGGGGTCCCGACCCCCAGTTTGAGAACCCCTGGACTAGACAATCACAATGGTTCCTTCTGGCCTTCTAGTCTACGAATCACTTCCCCAAGTCGAGAACTCTAGTCCCAACAGATAATCTCACCTGGCAGCATGGCTGCTGTGCTTCTAAGGCACGTCCTGTGCTTGTCTACAGAGATTGAGGCAGTCCTGTTGGAATCCAGAATGCTTTTCAATAGGAGGTGATATGCTGTCAAATGGAACTTGAAAAGGTTTCTGCTGGAGACAGGCACCTTGACCTCGTTTCTTGTTTAATTCCAATTATGTTGGACTTTCTCTTGACTCTGAAATCACAGCTATCCCTAGCAACTACTAACTTTTACTTATCTGCTTTTTCTATCTACCATGTCCCTGAGAAAAGGATCAGAATGTTTGCATTTTAAAAGGTCTTAGGAACAGATGCCCTCTACCTGAAAGCCTATTGGACCTTGGAACTTGAATTTAACCAAACTTCTGGGAGTGCTTTGAACTCATAAAAACCTGTATTCACTCTCTCAGAATGTTTCATTCTTAGTTGTCATCACCTCTGCCAGGAAGGTTTAAAACATACAGTGCTTTAAGGCTAACCCAACTTTTATCCTTTTCCACAAAGGTAAGGTGGTACTTAGATTTACTCCAAATTTCTCATTCTTAGAGTGATTGTGTATGCCCTCTAAGGGCTTCACTACACTTTAAAAGCTACAGCAGCACCAATGGGGGCTAGGTCAGCTTAACTATGCCACTGAGGGGTGTGGATTTTTCATACCCTTGAGCCACATAGTTAAGTCAACTTAATTTTCTAGTGTAGAGCAGGCCTAAGTGCTCACTACTGTTCAAAAATATTTTGAGGCTAGGCAAGCAACTCCTGCTGTGTCTGTGGAGGCAGCAAGTGCAGAAAATAGAATTACTCCTGGCAAGTAACCTCCATTTCCCCCTTATATAGTATATTGCTGACATTTTTCTTTTCTTCAGACCACTACTCCATGTTCTACCATCTACTGAAAGTAAAAAATTCCCTT